ATATACATTTCATAATTATACATTTTTTAAATATCTATTTGAGTGTCAAAAAATAATAATTTATTCAAGATTATTTTAACGTTGCAATATAAAGAATTAATGTACAAACATTAACCTAGATTCAACGTAGAAAAGATATTTATACTTCAATATTCAACATTGCAACGTTTCAGCAACATTATTTTAACTTTCTGTGCTGTATGGGGTGCAATGGTGCTCGAATTATTGAAAATTTCGGTGTACTGTAACGTACACAAAATTTACAAGCGCAAAAATTTTATTTGAATATCTCACAAAGTATTAGGCAAATCCAAAAATATGTCTCAGACAAAAGTTGTTCATATTAATTAGTACTGTAAGATAGTGTAATAAACAATAGGGGGTTCCATTACAAAAATTTAAAATGACCTTCACGTGATCTTGACAACGCCATTCAAGGTCATACTGATATTGCTAAGTAATGCGTTATTTGAAACCCTACAACTCTTGTCTGGAAAGTTCTCCTCTGGAACTTACACGTTTTGAGATATTCTACGTGCTCGACTTAGAGGAAACACCCTGTATAACGGAGTGGCCTAGAATATAGATCGTTTCCTTCTTCCTGAACGACGAAAAGACCGGTCGATATGTCGCTTCCACTTAAACAACTCAAAGTCCGACTGATCAGTAAGACGTAAGAAAAGTAAGAATCGAACAAAAATTGGTGAACAAAGATATGTGAAGACAATTTGTGTCTAAATACTACGTAGCTCGAAGAAAGCCGCACAGTAGGTGCACGACAATCGTTAACGGGACGTTGGAATTATTAGACGTCGCCTCAACGGGGAAAGAAAATAACACGGCGTGAAAATAATGGGACGCGCGGGGTTGGTCGAAGGGTTCCGTTGGCGAAGTCCATGGCATTCCGTCCGTAGCCTCGTTGCTTTAGCGAATTCTACGGCCTACGGAATTACCGGATCCACCGCGCACCCCGTGCCCTTCGACGTGCCGAGCGAATTGGTCGCCGAAGAGAGTATGTCGACCAGTTATTTCCGCGGATGAGGGTGTCGTTGTCAGGGTCGGTCCTCCTCGTGTCTCCTCCCAGCCCGAGTGTCGGCGGCGCGTCGTTTAAACGAGGCTGCGTATGCCGGCGCCGTTACCGACGAACGCGGCCCCCGCGGTCTGCGGCGAATTAGCCCCTGGTGCAGCGCCCGTCCCCCCTGCGCCACCCGTTGCAACATTCGCTACGGGCACCGCGGGCCCCGGCGGCGGCGGATAGTTGTACGGCGGGGCTGGCGCGGATTCCGGCATGAATTTCACTGAAACGTTGAAATGAAAATTACATTAGCGTCTGGTATCGAGTTGTCGGACTGACAACGTAAAATACACGACAACGGGACTCGATACGCGTATTGGTGTATTAAATGGTTAAACATCGCAGTCTCTTTCCTACGGGCGATACAGTGTAAATATCTTTGAGAAGTGATTCGAAGTTTCATGTGTCAGCTCGAGAGCTGGTCCGAACCGCGTGGACTAACGCGAATAAACAACGTGTTTCGATGGACCGCTGCACGGAAGAAAAATGCTGTTGAATTGAACAGAATTAAGTTGCTTGAATTAAACGTTAATGTCGCGGGCCGCCGCGAACGTAAACAATTCGCTCAATTGTATTTGCGACGGATTTTAATTTTAAGCATTGAACTAAATATCCAGATTACTAAGACAACAGTTTGACGTTTTTTATTTATTAATACTGATGTTGTTTCAAGGAACCTATTTCAATTGCACACCGATCTTGTTGATACAACACGATTCTTTTTTCCGTGTAGTATTCGACGGTATTCGCACTCATCGAAGCAAATTAGTTATTCGTGCTTGTACACGCTCGCTCGTTTGGATCCCACTTCAATTTTTTTTAAAATCGGTTTCTGTTGCACTAATATTGAAGTAAAATTGGTATATCGGTTAATGTTACTGTTGCGCACGTAAAAGAGATTAAATCTCGGTGAAGTATTATCTACGGCAAAAGGGCGTGCTTTTGAAATCTTTTCTCAGCAGTACGAAAAGAATGTTCGCCATCGCACATTAAAGAACAGTTCGATCGCGTAGATCGCGAAAAAATTTTCGTCTTGAAGTTTTAATTGAATAGCTCGTACGTAAAAGAAAGTGAAAAGACTATAATTATCAACAAGAGTCGAGAAAGTAATTTTTCCGCTTTTGTGTCTATGAATCGCAGGATCTATCTTTTATCTACGGTACAAAAGTGATATGTCGTATTTAATATCTTTTATTCTTACACTTTTTTTATAACGATTAACACACAGAAACACATAATTTGGACAAAGGAAAAATATACAGGTTTCATAACGCTAGAACGCAGAAATTGCATTAATATCTTCATTTGCTTCCGTCTCTTTCTTTTTTTCTAAATAGTTGTATGTTATATTACAGAGTGTTTTTTCTCTCTCTCTCTCATTCTCTCTCTTTCTCTCTCGCTCTCTCTCTCGCTTTCTCTCAAGTGTGTAGGTATTGTCGCGTTTTACTTTAAATCTCGACATGTGTGTGCGCGCGCGCCCTGCACCATTTATACATTAACGACAAGTTGGAACAGTTGCACGAATGGACAGCGAATAAAATAATTACGAAGCGACAGTAATTGGACACGCACATATCACTGTTGTGTCTTCTACTATTGATCACACGATCATAGGAAATATAAATTTATCGTATCATTTTATGTTACTAACACAGCGGTATTCGTACGCGATGACTCTCTGAAATATTCAACTGACTAATAGAATGCACAATGATGGAAGCACATATTATTTCATGTAACTGTCACACACGTGACAGAAAGGAATTTGTAAGAGGAGAGCGCAAGGTAACGGAAACGCAGAAGTTGCAATTGAGTGGTGAAAAGCCGTTTTTACCAACATAACCTTTTTCTCCGCGTTGCGAGACTGCAATCGATAATAAATGTGACAATAGAATTGCTGCATTATTTATCGGGTTTAGAGAGCGAAGAATTCGGAACGCAGCGGGGTTTAATTGTGAAGAGATATCGGCCACACATTCAGAAATTAATAAATGAGGAAATAACCACATAACTATGAAAGTACTTGTTTAAATTATATATTTGAAGAGAATACTTAATAATTCATTGAATCGTTTGGTATTACAAATATCACATGGTTGTTACGTTAAAGGAAGTACGGATTGAAATCAATCGAGAAAGAGTACAAATAAAAATTCTCAAAAGAAAGTAGATAAATGTAGGAGAGAAACAATGTGCACACCGGCATACAGTAGCAAGTTTATTGTTCTTACCTCCTGCTTGGATTTAACGGATATTAGGCTTTATAACGATCCTCTTCCTGGAAAGCGCATTGCAATATATTCGATCGTTAATGGGTGCGTAAAAATTTATTACCGCGCGACTTCTTTCCAGTCCGTAATCGAACGACGCTTTTGCTCCCCCCCCCCCCCCCGCTTACTTTTGCACGCGGCATTAACGGCGCAACAGAAAAGAACGACGCGAAACGTGGGGCTTTCAACCGCCAGTAATCAAATGCATAGAAACGTCGTTGCTTGCGGGAGGCAATGAGGATTCTACTCGGTCGAAGCGAAAGCGCGATTTGATTTCGAGAAAAGAAAAAGACGAACGGGAACAAAAGACGAGAGAATTATAATCGATCCCCCTTCTCCGTTGCCTCTTGATAACTTCAGTTCAACTACGCAGTGTGTATTTTTTATTCGATACTGTACAATTGTTCAAAGCGCAGCATCATATTCGTCATTAATAATTAAGGATACGTCGACACGGTTAAGATATGACGTACAGCTATGTGTTGATAAGTTCGTAAACATAGAATGATCGTTTTTAAACATTATAACTCGGATGTGCGGCCATTTCGCGCGACAACCTCCAAGAAATTCTCATCTCGTCGATCGGCCCCTCGCTTTCCCATCCTTGCGGATTTTCGCGGATTCAGCAAAGCGCATCGCATTAACAACTCATGGTCCACTGCTCTCGGTTAACAACTCCCTACAACAAGGCGGTTCTTTTCCTTCCTTTCATCTTCCTTTCTTTTCTCTCTCTCTCTCTCTCTCTCTCTCTCTCTCTCTCTCTCTCTCTCTCTCTCTCTTCATTCCCTCCCCCCTCCCCTCCCTCTCTCTTTATTATTTCTTACATTTTCTGTACACTGCTCGAAAACGTTGACCTCGGTCTTCGACGAAGGCAGGCGACTGTCGCCGTTCTCTCTTTTCTCGTTCTCTCGTTACTTGTTTCCCTTCCGTCCCTCTGTCCGTCTCGCGGTTTACTTTTCCCCTACAATTCGCGAAAAACGAAGAGAGCAAGTAGGCAAAGGAACAAAGGACACGTGTGTGACTCTTGCCAATATAACCGGAGCGGATTGTATCCGACAAATGGCGGCGCGAGGGACAAATGATATATTATTTACAGTTTGTGTAATTTACATTTACGTCTATAAAATAAATTGTCTCGGTGTGCCGCGAACGTGCGCACTACAGCAACTGCCTTCGTCGGAGAGGTTTCACATGCGAGATCTATCCCTCCTTTTAAAACCACCACCTCTTCGCAAATCACTCTCTTCGTGATGAATTTCGTGAAGCCCGTCTCTCCTCTCTCTCTTCTTAATCTCCTTCTTCCTCCTCTTCTGCCTCTACCTCTCTTCTTGTTGTAGTTACATTACATTACTTACACTTGCGTTCAATTTTGCGTGTTGCTGCTGCCGGTGACGCTCGCTGAAAACAATAATAACATTTGTTCTCCTCCGCTGGATAAAGGGACGGCGATAATTCGTCGCGCTCAGTCTTTGTCTCGTCGTATTTTAATTTGTTTCTTTCTGGTTTCTTTCTTTTGTCTTCTGTTTCTCTTATTTCCTCTCTATTTCGCTATCCTTCGCATGCGGAGACTCGTGGCGGATCGCGCTCGTCGTGGACAAACGTGTCAATTTACATGTCAGGATCGCGATCGTAAAGAATGTTAGTCCGCGTATATTTCAGTGGTTTCGCAAATGCTCTCGATGAAAGACGTGGTTTTGTTCGCGCCATTGTATCCACGACGATGCGTTTGGCAAACTAAAGTCGTTCACAGTTGGAAGCTGTACAACAGTCCGTCAGCCATAAAGACGAGGAAGAATTGCATGCAAGGCGTACATAGACATAAATGCGTATACAGAGGCCACTCGATACACACGATATACATAAACTTTCCCCCCCGCGCAAATAAACAACGGCGGGGTAAGCTTTCGCTTTTCGCCAGAAGTTCCGTCCGAGGTGCGTCTCTTGTCTTTTCCACGTTATACTTGGCACACTTGGACAAAATTCGCCGCAGCTCGTAGGCAATTCTGACCGAATCCCTGGCTGAAAATGCGTTTGCGTTAGAAGCTTCTGGCGCATTCCACATAACGTATGTACAAGCCATGCAACGCTATACCGACGTCGGTTTTCGATCGAGGGGGGAAGTAATTAAATCGATGGTGCATGCTCCGTAATAAGAGGTCAAGCACGATGCGCGAAGATCGTCCCAGAAACGTTTGCTTGATTCGTCTTTACATTGGACTGCACATTATTAAAGTATGCATATCCTGAGAATATATAATATACGGTGTATGAGTTTGCTGTACTAAGAATGTTATTTTAGAGAAAAAAAAGAGGATGAAGGGAGAGAAAGAGAGAGAGAGAAAGTGAAACATGCAGGATGTAATATGCATGAATGAATCTTGACATGTATGCAAGAAATGAAACGAATTGATTAAAATATT